ACCACACCTGGTGCGTGGTAACCGCGCCTGGTGCCTTGTAACCACACCTGGTGCGTGGTAACCGCGCCTGATGCCTTGTAACCACACCTGGTGCGTGGTAACCGCGCCTGGTGCATTGTAACCACGCCCGGTGCAAGTAGCATTGAAGGATTCAATTACTTTTCGAAACTACCGCCTTAAACATTAATTACTGATTATTTATTACTGTTATTTGAGAATAGCGTTAGCCACATGGGAAGTCGATTAGGATAAATTGGTTACAAAGAAGTAAATAATGACAAATACAGAGCGAAATGGTTAAGAAAACAGAACTAAAATAATAAAGCAAATTTTTTTTGGAAATATAATAAGGAAATTTAAAAAATACTTTATCGTAATAGAGCGTTTTCACGTGACGTCACAGCGGCCACTATGGGGTACCAAAACAATACATTTTCTATCCTCCGGGAATTGAACTCTATTTTTATGCACATACTGTGCAGAAAGTTTCTATTGTTTATGGCTGCCTTCTCACATGAGTGAAAACGCTCTATAGTCCCCTTCACAGTTCCCTGCACCATCTTGAAAGGTAGCCGCGCCTTTGCATCGAAGTGAAACGAATGTTGAGCTTGCAATGATAGAGACGTGTGAATAATTGTCCAGGGGGTTAAAAAAGGCCTCTATCATTGCAAGCTTATCGTTCGTCTCGCTTCGATGCAAAGGCATGGCTACCTTTCAAGATGGCGCAGGAAACTGTGAACGGGACTATTGGTTTAAAATGCCACTGAGATAAAGTTGCATCCAGGCTACTCTCTCCATTGACAAAAAGAGCGACGCCTGGTTTCAACTATTGGTTCCAAATATTTTCATGGTACGATACTGAATGTTAAAATCTTTATAAAATTTCCTTTATACATTTTTAGTCTTTAAATGAACTAGATTACAGAGAAAACTCCTTAAATCAATAATAATAAAAGATATTTAAAAGTTTAATCAGTTCATCGATGGTAGTCTTTTGATTTTCCTTCGTCATCTTGAAAAAAAGACCTAACATTTTACTCCTTTTTTAATTTCCAAAAAAAAATATGATCACAAATAAAACTGTAGTTTTGGGTTCTCTGTAGGCAAGGTTTGTCTCATTTGTGTGGAGAGTATTTGGTCTAAAATTCTTTACGTGTGAACATTTTGATAACAAAATGAGCCTAACTCTGAATTATCTAAATACAGCGATAATAAGTGCATCCACACAAAAAAATATCAACCATTTTTACAAGCATTTTGAAAACACTTCAAGGATTTGACTCGAATATTTGTTAGGTTTGGAATTGGCTTATATTTTTATATTTTTATAAATCTTTTAAAATTGATTTGATTACAGATGCGTGTAATATGGGTGCCAGTCACGTGATCTAGCTCCAGAATGATGTCCCCGTTAGAACTACGCATGCGTGTGAATCTAGTGCATCATTCACGTGCTTGACTCATATGTAATCTTGGCAGACCTGCATTTGAAGAACACACCGTGTCACAATCTATACTTTCATTTTCTTTTCATGCTCAACAACATTGATGTCTCTCCTGAAGCTCTCTTGCGTGACCATTCTTACAAGACAACTTCCGTAGAATCCCGGTTATTAGCCCTGACAAATTCGTAAGGGTTTTTGGTTGGGGATATAATTGGGGAGGCTTAAACAAGGAGGGGGGGGGGGGAGGCTTAAAAAAGGAAGGAAAAAACTGCCAAAATCCGTTGTATTAAATTGTTGAATTGTGTCCCTTTCAATTGAAGAACACTGTGTGAAGAACACACATGCAACAATAGCTGTAAAAGCGTCGAAACTCGAATGTACTCAGAAAAAAATGAGCCGACTGTAAATGTGCTACAGGACTGCAGGGGAGGGAGGGGGGATGTCACAATCAACAAAGATTCATTTTTTTAGCAATTCAAAGTATTTAATGTTTAAACTAACCAACCAATTTCAAGCTAGATCGGGGGGTTATAACCGAGATTCTACGGTAACGTGCGTGATGACTGTCTAGCGTGAAAACTTTCTGACAAAACAATTAACAAAAGCTTTCTTACGTAACGACTATTGTAAATGATTGCGGATAAAAAACAAATCCTCTTGGCCGCATGCAATAATTTGGATTTTATTATATTATTTTATTTCATTATGAGTTATGCCTAATATGACTTTACTAGGATTATTACATTACTTAATTTTAATCCCAAAAATTTACTTCATTTTATTTTAATTTAACTTTTCCTTAAGGTTTACTGGAATTTTAATTTTTTTTAGACAATAATTATATTATTAAGTAAAGATAATTAAAAAAAGATAAGATTAGTTTATCCTCTTAAGCTTTAAAACAAATTAGTGAATGAGACAGGAAGTAAAGAAAGCAGGAAAAGATAGAAAATGAAAGTGAAAGAGGAGAGTGCAAAAGAAAGCGTATGAGCTGTGCATCAAACAAATAATAAAACTCTCTAAGGATGAGATGTTTCCCCATATCAAACGTCCAGGGATACGAAGATTTGTTTAAACTTAGTTCAAATGAAAGAAATAATACTCAAGGAAATTTTAATTCCAATAGCAGATATCGGAGTTACACTCTGTTGCCTTCAAAAAATTGTTTCAAGTCGAGGCATTTGGGTCAATACAATGAAATGTATAGAAACTGACCCAAATGTAACAATTGTTTGAAAGCTATAGACTGTAACTCCGATATCTGCTATTCGATCGGTGAGTTAGCTATACCCTGACTTAGATCAGCCCAGAGGTTGTTTCAGGGTTCAATCTGTGAGTTAGCCGTGCCATGACATAGATCAGCCCAGAGGTTGTTTCAGGGTTCAATCTGTGAGTTAGTCATACCCTGACATAGATCAGCCCAGAGGTTGTTTCAGGGTTTGACCTGTGAGTTAGCCATGGCCTGACTTAAATCAGCCCAGAGGTTGTTTCAATACATCGATGAAATTTCAAAAGGTTTGAAATCAAGATAAAGATATACTTACGATGATTCGAGCATCAAGGAATCTCTCAAAAACAGCTTAGTTGCTTTCCGTTTATCGATATCGGGTCCAGACGCGATGCCATCCTTTATTTCACGCTCACCACTTTTACTCTTGCTTCGTCCAAGTCGAAATCTTTGGTGCTTTTTCGTAGTCTTTTCACCTCGATCATCTGTAGTATCAGAGGATAATCTTTCTTCTCTTTTTTTCRAAGCATGTGAATTATTTTTGTCATTATTTTTATCCCTTCCGCTTGTGAGGTCCCTTCCTATGCTCAGTAAGTCTGTCAAAGACATGCTCTTTTTACGAAGTCGTGTTTCGGGGGCCGCGTTGATTTGTGGTATAGGCGAAGTTCGTTCTATCGAATCAGGTGACCCTAGATCCAATCCCGAATAATGAAATCTGTCAGGTTTGACTGGTAACCGAGAACCTTCCGACTCTGTTCGCTTAAGACTTGATAAGTGAATACCATCCTTCGGGTCATCGAAGTCATTACTCTCGTTACCCGGGTGGTCACTGGAATCTGAACTTAAAGTTAGAAAATCCTTCACTCTGTCTGGTGAGGCAGAGAAGGAATCGAGAGTGGTGTAAGACTGTGACCGCATCAATGATTCGGGTCTTCTAGACATGAGCGGTGAGGACCGTCTTGGAAGAGAGGTTTTCCTGCGGGGTGGTTCACTAGATATGGGACCGCTGATGGCTGACTGTAATTTCTGCTGTGCAATCAGCGGTGACTTGATCTGGGGAGGTTGTTTACTTGGAGATTCCTTGAGGTGTATTTCCAAAGACTCTGACAGGGACTGCAAAGCTTTAAGGCCTGGGCTTGTCTTCTTACGATTTCCGCTACGACGCGGGAACGTTGCTGATTTTGCTTCCTCATCACTAGTCTCTCCTGTCGCACCTTGGTCACCACTCTCAGAGTGGGGCCTGGTTTCCCTTGGACCGAGAGGCATTGGAGCTGAGGCCGAGCGAACAACTGGACGACCTGAATGGCCGGAATCGTCTTCAGATGGTTTGGTCTCAAACGTCAAAGAAACGTCAGAGGCTGGAGAACAAGGCTCATTATCATCACTCATAGCGCATGCGCTGGATGATTCATTTTGTCCAGGCGATTCAAAGACATTTGGACTCGAGTCTTCTTTGGAGTCTTCTTGTTGATTGTCCAACGTGAATGAGGATGTTAGATCTAGAGAGGTTTGTAACGAACTGGACTCGGATTCGGACTTCGGCGCTTCGTCCGCAGAAAGCGACGACGAGCTAATAGATGTTCGGGAGGTATCTAGTGGAAGCCCTTCTGTAATAATATCACCCTTTGATGTTTTCCGTAAAAATTTCTTGGATTCTTTTGGTTCGGAACATGAACGAGACAACGAAACGGACGAATCCACTTTCCGCCTTTCCTTCTGAGGCGCCGAAGATGATCGGGATACTTTCGTGACACCCTCGGAACGTAGTCGGCTAATATCGGGATTGATTGGCGGTATTTTCTGGATAAGTTCATCTGCGCCTTTGTGAACCACTATTTCGGGATTCACATTAGTTAAATCGGTTAGAGAAGAAGAAGTCTTTTTCGATGTGACTTCTCTCTTCTTTCCAACAGACTCTTTCCTTTTCCTGAATTCTTCGTCTTTTTTCTCTTCTTCTTCATTCTCCGGGTTTATCTCTGTATTAATGGTTCCATCTGATGGATATCTCGTTAAATTGTTCACTCGGAATGCTTCATTTAGTCCCATTTCATCATCTGAGTCCAGAGATTCAACAGAGATGGCCGAACGTCTTCGTGTTTGCGGAGGCTCTGGCATATTTACGAAAGAAGATGGACTTATCAATTCGCCCGTATCAGTTGCAGACGTTACGTAAGGTTGACCATGCTCCAGTTGGGCGATCATGAACAATTTCTGTGGTAAAAATATTAATATTTATTATTATACATTTTACTAAGTATCTCAATTCTGATTGGTCGAGAGCCCTCAGCCAATCCCTGATATCGTGTGAACTTGACATGATAAATGTATTATCTGTAGGTTTTCCTAAAGATAATACATTTATCATGTCAAGTTCGTTCAAGGTCACGCTGTGGTAGCTTTGTTTTTATTCATTATGTGTATTTATTTCCAGAATTATGTACAAAAATAACTAATTAAGGAATCCTTAACTTATTTTCATATATTTTATGAAGAAATCTCGAAATATTTCTGAATTAAGAATTTTGCGTTTTTCACGCGACATCATGGCGTCCATAATTCTTGTCTCTATAATCTAAAGTTCATGTTAATTTTTTTCATTATTTTCCAGTATACAAAATGTATAATAAAGCAATTATTAAATTCGGTATCGCATAATATGGTAAATTATCAAGACCTCGGTCTTGATAATTAAAGATATCATGCTCAACCTCATCCAATAATTGCTTATTATTTTCCCTAGTGTTTTCCTATTTCACTGAGTCATGCACGTGACCGGACGGTGCCGGGGAAATGTCTCGTGATGTATTCATACAAATAGCTTTCCGTTTTTCTTTATAGATCATGATTTATTACACAGCATTAGAAAATAGCATCATATTTGCATACCTGTGCTTTCTTGATGGCTTCTATCCAATACACTTGGTCAATGTTAGATCCTTGTAACGCAAACGCTTGTACCACTGTGTTGTACTCGTTCATATACACCAGAAGAAACATGCCTAAATACAGAGTATGGCATCAGTGTTATGATTTTACGATTATATTAATATACATGAAAAACTAACTCGATTCTGATTGGCTGAGAGCAGTGCTTTTAACCAATAACAAAGCGGAAAAAAGTAATTTGCACTGCAATGCAAGTTAGAATCATCCTTCACTCTTGTGTTTTTCAAAAAAAGCCACTTGACCAAATTTCAATTAATACCATATGATTACCTATTCTTATAAAAAAAGACATTTTTTCATTTTTTCATTGGTTTAACTTTATCTTGTTGGAAATTTTGACAACAGAATGAAGAGATTGTTTGGAATAATGGCGATGGGACACTAGAGAAAAACGTTTGCGCATGCGTGCATTTCAGCACGTTTTCTAAGAATTTTGAAGAGTTTGAGTGAGAAAATAAATGTTTGTTTTCTCCAAGTATACAAAAAAGTTCCAGAGTATACTTCTGTCAGACCAAGATACTGTATTAACAAACACAATATGAAAGAATTAGCCTTAAGTTTCAAGCATGGACACTAAGTTTTGGCATTTTGTGAAGTCCAATTAATCAGGCATGTTTGGAAGTCAAATTTACTTATGTTTTGACTAATTTGCATATGCATTCAGAGCATGCGTAGACGTTTTTCACTTGTTAATGGCGATGGAGTTTACCTGGGTCTTTTGACGCGTGCACACTTAGTTTATCAACCATCATAGGCTAAAATAGACAAACATAAGATAAATAAGAAAAACATGAGTACGCCCACGAGTATTGATATCAATGGCAATAATAACGGTAAAGGATGATGATGGCGATCATAACGACGATAATAATGATGATGGTGGTGGTGAGTGACGACGGTGATGAGGACCGATAATGATAATAATAACGATGATAATGACAATGAATCATATGATAATCATGTTGGTGATTATAAAGGGTAACGAGTGCTGATGACGACGATGTTGATGACAATGATGATGTTGATGATCACGATGCTGATGACGATGATGATGATACATGGTGATGTTGATGATGATGATACATGATGATGTTGATGATGATAATACATGATAATGTTGATGATGATGATACATGATGATGATGATGATAATACATGATGATGTTGATGATGCATGATGTTGATGATGATGATGATACATGGTGAGGTTGATGATGATGATACATGATAATGTTGATGATGATGATACATGATGATGTTGATGATGATGATGATGAT